CTCCTCTCTCCTCTCCTTTCCTCTCTCTTCTCTCCTCTCTTCTCTCCTCTCCAAAGGCAAGTCCAAAAGTGACGACAGTTCTGCCTTTCGCGACCACAACCCCCCCAATCCCTGTGACTGTTGACACTTTTTACACGCAGCGACCCGACGCAAGTCCAAAAGTTATCACAGTTCTGCCTTTCGCGACCACAACCCCCCCCATGCCTGTGGCTTTTGACACTTTTGGGATGCGAAGACCCAACGCCGGTCCAAAAGTGACGACAGTTCTGCCTTTCGCGACCACAACCCCCCCGATCCTTGTGACTGTTGACACTTGTGGTCCAAAAGTGACGACAGTTCTGCGTTTCGCGACCACGACCCCCCGGATCCCTGTGACTGTTGACACTTTTGGAAGGCTAAGCGTAAAAAGTGACGAAAGTTCTGCGTTTCGACGATTTTCGACTCCCAGGAATGCGCAACACTTCCCGACACTCTCTGACGCTCGCGAATGTTTGCAAACGCTTTGCGAGCACAAACGCAACGACTGTTGGTCACCTCCTGGACCCCTGGACCCCAACCTTAAAACGGGAACCCTTCTGCGGAGCATTCTGGAAAAAATGGAAGCATGGGCTGGTGCCACCCCCGCAACCTGCAGACCGTGGACAAGGAGGGAGGGGAGGGGGGGTTGCTGTTGGGGTGGGAGCGCCGGCAGGCGTTTTTTGCTGTATGGGCGGGGCTGCTGTTGGGGCGGAGGGCGGCCTGCTGTTGGGATGGGGGTGGGGCCGAATGTTTTTTTTCTATTAGGGTGGGTCGGGGAGCCTTTTGCTGTTGGGACGGCGTGCTTCCTTTTGCTGTTGGGGGTCTCTTTGCATTTTGCTTTTTGGGCGGAGGCGTGTTTTTTTAACCCATGCTCATGAGGCACTCATGGGGGTCCACTAATGACTCTGGAAACACAACGTTTGCAGGAAGATTTATTGACAATGCAAGCCATCTTGAAACAAGCATCTGGCTACTTGAGCCCAACATCCAACAGCTGTGTCAACAGGCACGAAGAAAACATGCGGAGACGAGAGAGCCACCAGCACGGCCAAGCTAGTAGAACGTGCGGGGTGTCTCCTGCAAGCTGCCAACACGCCAATAGATGCACAGGCTCACATGCAAACGCTCTGGAAAGTGCAGTCCTTGGATTGATTTGCGGAAGGTGTAGAAGCCCCATAGCAAGAGTCGGGATTGTAACAGCCGTTTTAGATTCAAGACAGCCTGAAAAGTTGGAAGTCAGCGGTACAGCACTCCAGAGCAATCTGACAGCTTTTGTACAGCTTTTGGCATTTTGGGTGCTAGTCACACAGAAGTAGCCATTTACCCTACACATGGTGCCAGGCTTGGCTTTAGTGTCAACTATCAGGTCTCTGCCCTGAGAATGGATGATATTGATAGTCTGTGTTTTGCACTTGGCTCCACTCGCGACCACCAATTCAAGAACTGCTAGATGATGTGCCTGTACTACATGTGGCAGTGAAAAGCTACGGCGAACGCATTCCTGGCCAAAAGGCATCCCACAGCTGCCAAGCGCACGGGCGTTGCAATTTTGTCACAGGACAAGTGCAAGACAGGCTTCACAGGTCCATGCAGCCTTGTGCCTGCCTCGTGTTTCAGGCCGATTTCTGCCGACGCTGAAGATAATTGTTGTGTCGAACAAGTCCAACGTACAGGTCAACCAAACAAACTCCGAAGTGGCTGCTACAAGACATCCTGCAGATTCAGCGGATCCCTGGGCATGAACCTATGTCAAGCTCGTGCAACTAGATAGACCCAAAGTGCCTAGAGTATTGGCTCGAGCACAAAAGTTACTGGGGAATGTCGGAGGCTCGTGGACACAGCCTGGCGGACATCTGCGAAGCCAATTTTCACCGCGCAGATCACATCCGCTCCAGAGCGCTCAGAGGACTCGTTGCAAGACCTGGCCACGATGATCAGAAAAACACAACATCGCGAATCGCTGGTTTACTCTTATCGTACGCTAGATGATAAACCTTGGAATTGAGTTGCATTCCGTAACATATAATATACAAGTTGGCTTCACGACTGATCAAAGAGCATGCCACAAGCACCTAGAAACAAGCACGGCTGCCAGACCCCACAGTGCCTTCCTCAATGCCTGGGCGCAATGGAAGGCACATACCCCTGCGTGCATGATGTTGTCAACCTTGTGTACACTACATTGCAAAATAACTTGATGGACAGTCCGTGTGAGTAGAGTATTATTCCATCAAACCTGCTCGGCAGGCGAAGATCTGGACGATAAACCAAGTGATCGATAGACAAAGCTTTATGCAAAAAGAAAAGGCCACGAGCCACATGGAACATCAGCCACCCATGAGCACGTGTTGAAGAGCCGGGACGCAAAATGGCAAGCCTGTTTATGCCTTGCTGGAATGCTGCAGGACATTTTCCTCACCTGCTGTGGCACCAGAGTGCCGAGCACGCCGGCATCTTCTCGGCATTCTGACGGGCTGGCAAAACTGAAGAGAATCGCTTAAGCTCCTGCTCTATAACTTGTCAGGTGAATGCAGAGACAGGACCCTGCTGTTGCTTCAGGTTTCTTCCGAGCCTGAAAACTGTACCCGCAATCATTTAATGTCCTGCGTGTCCAGATTCCCAAGCCTGAACAACGGCTTCATCACTGCTGCTGTGGAGCTACAAGACAGCGCTCACTTCTGAATGCAGCTGTGAGCAAGACAGGGATATAACAATACTGACATCTATTTTTGCTCTGTGGCTTGGGAAAGTAGAAACTGCCCAAACTGCGGATCATTTCAGAATTTCATGTTCAGTCATGCAGCAGTGCATCATCGGAAGAGGCAAAAAACTTGAGACTGTGTGGGGTGTTAAGCGGTTTCAGTGTTTTCGCTGGCGAAGATACGATTCAAAAGAGGGGCAAAACTTCAATGGGATTTATGTGCGTTGGGCCAAGCCTTTAAAGGTTGCGAGGTTATAGGACTTCAACCTTCATCTTGGTTGCGTATTGTTGCAAGATGTTAAGCGTACAAGAGTACGGTGACTAGTATGGGTTTTCGGGATACAGAGGGGCAGACAGTACTACTTAAGACTAAGCTAGGACGAGTTGGGATTCGAAAGGTTCAAAAGAGGACGCAGTCACAGTGAGCCAAGAATATGTATGAACTATTTGGGGGTTTCAAGTTTGCACAAGGGTCCAAATACTACTCGATAAGGACGATGAGGGCTTGAAGAAGGGCCCTCGTACTACTCAGTTAATTACGACTGTTTGGAGCTTCAAATTTGCAAAGGGGCCCGGGTACTGCTATTAAGACTCTTTGGGGTTTTAAGCATTCAAAGGAGGAAGTGGCCCAAGTACTACTCGGTTGGGACTATTTCTTGCGGCACGCATTCTAAAGCGGCCCAAGTACTACTTGATGAAAAGGATATGGGGTTGTATGTGTTCAAAAAGCACCCGACCATTGTCAGCCAGGATTGTTTTTGGCTTCAAGTATTCAAGGGGAACCCAGTACTGCTTTGCCCAGACCGTTTGGTGTATCCAGTATTCAAATGAAGTCCAGATACACGCTGTAAAAAACCAAAGAAACGAAAATACTGCCCAGAAGATACCCGTAAGTGAAAATCCCCAGCCTACGACCAAAATTGCCCTAGAACCCTCAACATCAAAAGCAAGAGGTCCCTCACTAGAAACCCGAACTGCCGCCTCTGCGAGAAGTGTGTTTCAGAGCTGAGGACATGTTTTGGCATGGATGCTCTGGTCGCTATACTCTCGGGGATGAACCATGGTTTAGGTATGGCTGCTCTGGCAACTGGATGCAGTCGAACGTGGTTGGAGAATAACCTTGTTATGGTTTCAGCATGGATGCCCGGTAGTTATGCAGTCGAAAAAGAACGAGACTATGGTCACTATGCTCTCACGGATGACTTCATCATGGCTGCTGTGGTGATTGGATGCAGTCGATGATGAATGGTTTTCTGGTTTCAGCATGGATGTTCTGTTGATCGGATGCAGTCAATCATGAAGGTTCTTCTGGTTTCAGCATGGATGCTGTCGTGACGGCTCAAAATGAGGCTCGAACTCAAGGCACCCGAGTAAACGCCCAACCGAACACAAGTTTCATTGACTGTTGTCTTTTGAATCTTTTGCAAATACGGGCATGCGAATGAGTCTCTATTCACCTCTGACGTCCACTGATGCGAAGCCTCCTCATTTGCGGAATCCTTTTTGCAAATTCAATGGACTTGATGCCTGGGCCTATAACCTTATAAGTGACAAACGTGTTTGCTGGGCAATTCCATCATTCTATCTGTTCAACATCCCTCCTGCCACCTTTGCACATTGGCGTAAACGAACTGGAACCTGCACATCAGCCATCAACCCCTGCAGTTTCCCTCCGACCCTGATTGAGGCATGCTTGAAAGACCCGAAGAGTATCTTCATGCAGTTTTGCAACAGCCCTAGCATCATGCCAGTGACTGTGTCGAAGATTGTCATGTGTTCTTTCCCTGGGCCATCAGCCCAGCATGCGTTCCCTAGTCAAAGTGTCAGCCCTGATCCCTGATCAACAGGGGTGGGATTGAGATGCTGCTGGCCTCTACAGAATATCTACTCTCGACTCTCGCAGGCGGTTCCCCCAAAAGCGAAGGTTTTCAAACTTTCTTCTCACTTTCTGAAAGGTTGCACGAAGTTGTCCTCCTTTCCCTTGCCTTTATCCTCTCCGTTCACCCGTATGCCCTTCTGTTTATCTTCCCCATACTCGCCATACAATTCAGTCTCCTGCTGCGCGCGTGGCACAATACTGCATTCTTGGTTTCCCCCTATACATCAAGTTTGGCGGGGGTCATCCCCCGCTGAGCTCTTGATTCCTCACTGATTTGTTTTCAGCCGCCACAACTCGCAACAGTTCTGGAGATTTGGAGGTTGCGCACGTATCCGGGCCCGTGACACGGCTGAAGACCTCCCCGCTTACGTCATCGCGGAGGCCAAGCCACAGAGTCCAGGAGTGCAGCGTCTCCTCGCAGCCACTGTAGCGGAGGCAAGCCGGCTACGGAGACGTAAGCATTTCCGAACTCTGCAGAACTAACTTGCTTACGCTTACCAATGCCAGATTTTGTGGGCCTTGTTGGTCCTCCAACCCCTCGAATTTCAGAGCACAAACAAATAAGAGCAGCACGGTAGATCGCACCGATATGTGACGAGGCTCCTGGTCTGCGAACATCTCCACAATGTTCCTGTTCAGCAGCATCATGCTTCTGACAAGCGATAGCACTGCCTTGCTCGTCCTCGTTTACAGCACGCATCGGATCGCGGGTGGTGCGAATGGGATCGTGAGATTTCGGATTGCGGGGGGAAGAACGGGATCAGGGAGCTCGCTCAGTGAGCCCAATTCGGATCGCAGGGAAGCGCGAATCGGATCACTTAAAACTTCAAACAAGGCCTTAACTCTTGAACAAGCCCCCAAAACCTGAACCCAAACAACCCAAACACCCAGCCCAAAACCTACAACCCTAAAACCTGAAGCCCTAAGCAACCTGAAAGAACCCCAAACCTAAACCCTAAACCCTGAACCCTACACTAGACCTGACCAAAAAAAAATGAACCCTCCCCACCCCCTAAACCCCAAACAACCCTAAACCTCCAAGAAACCCTTAAACCTTGAACAAGCGCCCCAACCCTGAACCCCAAACAACCCAAACCCTAAACGACCCCAGACCCTAAAACCCTTACAACCCTAACATCTGAAGCCCTAAACGACCACTAACCTTACCCTAAGCAACCCTAAATTTCAACCCTCCCAACACCCCACGCCCCAAACCCCGAACAATCCTAAACCTACAGAAACAGGGCCTAAACCTTGAACAAGCCCAAACCCTGAATCCGAAACAGCTGAACCCCTAAACCCTAAACCTCACTAGCAATCAAAATCAAATAAGCCTTTCAATAAGAATTAAAGGAGAATGAGTCTCTGAGACCCTAGTACGGCATTGGACGTGCTGCCGGGGGGTCGGTCCTTGGCCTTAAAGGAATCGAGAAATGGGCGAGGGGGTGGGGGGCGGCTGGGCGGGCGGGCGGTTAATTGGTTGTCCCCCCGTCCTCCTCCTTTGCTTCTTTCCTTTAGGGCGAGGGCCAACCCCCAGGTATCACGCCCAATCTCGTATTAGGTCATTAGGTGCTCATTGATACCTTCTCCTCCGATTTCTACCAGGGTGTTTCTCCAGGTTAGCTCAGGAACCCTGAAGGGCCTTTGATCTTCCAGGAAGCAACGTATACAGAAGCATTTTAACAAGTGCCACCTTTTCCGTAGCAAGAGTGACAGGATACAGTGGCATTGAAGTTCTTTGCGTATTGATTTCTGAAGGAGCTTTCCTGTGGAACTATAGGAAATGATTGCAATCATATGAGAATGGGTGTCTCACAGGGCAGGATGCAGCTTGGATATCTGCGTCGTGATTCGAGAAGGAGTTTGCTGGGGTGTGATGTGATACTGGATGTGTTTAATCCCTTCCCCCTAATAATAATAAAAGACGTCCCCCCCCCTCCCTACTAATAAATAATCCGGAGGCTCAGAAGTTGTTTATCATTAGGGGTCATATTTCTTGAACGAGTTTGGTAGGGCTGCCTGTAAATTCCTTGAAAATCAAAATTTACTTAAAATTCCTGTTAATTTCAATTGAAACCGAATTAAAATCACGTTAGAAACAATTGAAAATTAATTAAGCTTTCCTTCAAAATCAATTAAAATCGAATGAAAGTCCTGTTAGAATCAATTGAAATCGAATTGAAATACCGGTAGAATCAACTGAAGTTTAATTAAAATTCCTTTTAAAATCAGTTGAAATCGAATTCAATTCACGTTAAAAATCGATTGAAATTTAATCAAATATTTTGGAAATCAATTGAAATCGAATGATAGTCCCGTTAAAATCAATTGAAATCGAATTAAAATACCGTTAGAATCAATTGAAATTTAATTGAAATTCCTTTTAAAATCAATTGAAAATTACTTAAAATACATTTGAAATCAATTGAAGTTTAAGTAATATTCCTTTTAAAATCAAGTGAAATCGAATTAAAATACCGTTAGAATCAATTGAAATTTAAATAGAGTTCCTCTTAAAATCAAATGAAATCGATTAAAATCTATCCAAAATCAATCGAAATCGAATGAGATCCAATTGAGATTCAGTTAAATACGGCGAAAATTGTCATAAAATCAATTAAAATCGCATTCAGTTCTTGTATTTAAAATCCTATATAAAACCCTATGAAAATCAACAAAAACCTAGGATGTTGAGGGGGTCCCTAATTCCTTTGGATTTTCTAGCATACCCCCCTAATGACCTCAAAACACGCCCTAATTCATTATAGTCTGGCTCCTTTAAAAGTCGTCTTGCCCCTTTTAAAATAATACATGAGGATTTTTTGGGGCCATGGATTTATTATTCATTATTAGGGAGGGTTTATTAACAGCGGGAAGCGATTATGAGAAAGCTCCATCTTCAAGTTGTGTAGATGCCTATAGTCATTGTGAGACTTCTGATTTGGGTTTCCAACTGGCACCCGAATTCCAGAGTGCGTCGACACTGCTTGAAATGTTAGATCTTGTAAGGGTTATTTTAAAGTCAAGATAATTGGGGGGCATCTCCATAACAAATTGTACTGAAAACTTTGCGGCCATTCCAATAAACTTGACGACACTTGTACTGATGTCTATCCACCTATTTCTATCTCATGCGAAGAACTACTTTGCAGGGCGGCCTCATTTAGCTTCATGGTTCCATGAAAAGACGTGGGCTTTGACTATCCCTGCTTGAACCCAAACGAAAAAATTCAAAAAAAGTTTGTGAAGGGCAAGTGGTTTGTAATATGGACTTCGTATTCACACAAAGGGCTGCGCCCGTGGAACGTCACGTGAAAAGTTGTAAAGCAGGCGGCATAGGTAAATTCCCAGATGTAGTGAGAGAAATGCTTGCTGGGACTGGCCATGGTGAAAGCTTTGATGTCTACAAAGATACATACAAATGAAACCTGATGGGGCATCCCATGAAAAGTGTTGTGATGAATCCCTTGCAGATCAGTAACATTTGCTGCAAACACGGGACACAGGATGTAGATGACAGTTTACGCACAGGAGTGTGCATGCAGGGCGGCCGGCTCATTACAAATCCTCCATCCGAGAGGAGGATGCTTTAGCGAACATGGGCTAAATGCAAATCTACATGTGAGATGAAAGAGTTCGGCAGACAAAACGCGTAGAAGAGCTGGCTCTGAAAGGGAAGTCAAAACACGATACAGATGTTGTAGGACAACTAGATTTGTTTCATGAGATCATGGTTTACGGAAGCTATATTAAGTACATCTGTTGCGGGCAGGTGTACACTTCCACTGATATGTTACATGGGAGGGACCTCAGAAACATTAAAAGTTATGAGAAGGCCCTGCATCTGTTTTGTATCTGTGATAGGCTGTGTAAAGTGTTGTCCGTTTACGATAGTACGGTTTGTCAGCATATATCGCCACAAGCACGACCATATTGCCAATTGTTCAGATGGTGCGCAGTGCATAAACTCTTCCATGAAGCATGGACATAAAGCATGCAGATCTTTTATGTTTACATTTGCAGAAGCTTCACTTTAATGTGAGAAATGTCACGCGCATGTATGTGTATATATATATATATGCGTATATTATGGCAGAGTGCAACATGAAAGTTCATAATAGTAACAGTAACAAATGCCAACAGGTTTGTAAGACAAGACATACCTGTTGAATCCATTGAAACGTGAAGTTCCGGTTCACTTTGCAAAACTAAGCAATGCCATAGATTGACTGGAAAAGATGCTCAGGACCTCCCGAAAACAAACACGGTACTTATGAGGCTATGAGGCTCTGAGGGCGTTCCATTCTCAAGCCTAAAACCCTCAACAACCTTAAACCCCACATGGCCCAAACCCTACACTCAATACCTAAACTGACCTAAACCCACCAAAAAAACAAGCGCTAAACCCTTCACACATCCTAGACCCCAAACAACCCTGAACCAAAAAGAACAGGCCCTTGATCCTGACCCCTCCCCAATCTCTGAACCATTACATATAAGCCCAAACCCTGAGGCTCAAACAAGCACAAACCCTCACCCCCACACGGCTGAACCCCCTAATCCTGCAACAATCCCAAACTTTAAGCCTGAACAACGCTAAACCCTAGACCTTGAGTAACCCCAAGCACTCAGCCCTGTGAGAACCCCAAACCCTAAGCCCTCAGCCTCTAAAGCTTGAAAACACGCCAAGCCTTAGCCGAATCTGAAACGCCAAAAAGCTACATGTGTCTGATCAAAGCCGCAGAGTATGTGTGCGCTGATTCAGTGATCCAGAGCGCCGTGCTGATGCATAGCTACGTCCAACCGATTTGTATGGCGTTCGCCCATCCCCCCGCAAAGTGACCAAGGAAATTCAGCAAACCATGTCGCAGATGTACAACTGAGCACCAAATATGTCGCACTGGGCCACTCCGGCCCACTGGAAAAGTGAACGCTTCCCACTTGAAACCTTGGGGCCGTCTCTACTCGCACGGCCACACGCCTCCCTGACTTAGCATGTGTCTCCAACATGCATCATAAAGTCGGCCAGCTGTGTCAATGCATGGAGACCAGCAACGGCAAGAAGCTCATGACATGTGATTTCCACCAATCACGGCCTGACGAAGCGAGTCGGGCTGCGCGTCGTGTCTTGAGGCTCGATGACCTGAATCATTTGATGTCACGAAGTACACATTCAGCAGCAAGCTGCAGCAAGCTGCGCAAGCTACAAGACCTGATGGGGTAACTCACATCGTGCACGCGGCTTCTCTGGCAAGACCCTTGCATCTACCCGCAGCTCTAGCTTGTAATGCAGCATGTTACTGGCGCACAGGTTGGAGTTCCTGTAACTGTAGGCACCAAACGGGCGAGGCACCATCGAAGGCAGGAATGCTGCGCAAGTTGATGAAGAGCCTTCTGCAAGTGAGATCAATTGCACAAATCATGCCACACTCTGCGGTGCAGCCTATCGCCGTCGTCATCTAGCAGCTGGCTGATTTGCCAATCTCTGCGACCTGAAAAGACATTGATTGAAACAGGGCGATAACATGTCTGCTGCTGTAAAGGACTAAAAGCTGCGCTAGGGCTGGAGCGGAAGCGCATTGACAAGTCTAGGGCAATCTCAATCAGCGACCTGCAGGCAGCTTGTCATCGGACTGACCGCGATTGTTATAACAGCCCCTGGTTGGAGGCAGGTCTGTGTCTGAGAGTCTGTGCTTCCTTCTGTTAGGTATTGCTCGCCCTCTGACCTTTCGTGGATGCGGCATTGCTGTTAGCAAAGGCTTCTGAGATGCCGAAAAGGGTAAAGGTAAAAGGTTTGTTAAGGAATGTGCGGTAAAGCCCGTGAGCTGATATCCTGCTGCTCCTCCGCCTCCTCCGATACTTGGCTCACTGAGGTAGAGCTGTTCACGTGCCGCCAAAGACACTGCTGCTCGCAACAGGAGGATTTTCGAGCTTGGCCATTTGAGATCAAATCTGACACGGCAGGGTTCGAAGCTCGATCGCGCAAACATGCTGGTACCGTGCAGGAAGAGGAAGGTTGAAATCAGCCGCAGCATGCCGCAGCACCTGAAGCCGCAGCAGAAGACACAAAAAGGCGCAAAGCATGCGCAACTGAGAGAGAGAGGCCACGGGATCAATATTCAATGCATGGCAGAAAGCAGCAGCAGAACAGAAGCCCGCAGAAAAGAGTTGCACTGCACACAAGAAAGCAAAGTGAATGGAGCTGCATGAAGCCCCGTGGGTACAGAAGGGCTCAGGTGAAAGCCGCACAGCACACGCGACAGGACGAAAGGAGAGGCAGTCAGGAGGGGAGACAGCAAGGCTGAAGGTCAGAAAGCGGCGGCAGCACAAACGGCCACAAAGCAAGAAGCACACAGCACAAGTGACCGCGAACAGGGCTCTCAATGCCTCTCCACGAGGGCATACGAGGGGCAAAACATTTGCCTGATGTCTTGAGTGATTCTGCGGCAGACGGCTGCACGTATGTCTTTCATCAATCAGGACGCTTCCCAATCAACCTGCTCCTGCTCAGAATCAACGGAGGTGCAGGAGGCGGGATTGCGAAAGGGGTGCAGAGCACAACGACAGGAGCCTAGATGACAAAGGACGCGTCCAGGCCCAAAAGTGCAGGGTACACAACGCCACATGCTAGAGCAGCAGAAGCAGGCAACATATCCAGGAAAACACACCTCAAAAAGAGGGCAGGAAGAGCAGCAAGAGACAAGCACTGAGGATTGCGCAGGCAAGAGAAACAAGAAGCCAAGAGCAAACAACGAGGCACTGCGGCACAATGGTGGCGGCGTAGGCTCGTGCTGAGCGACGCTGAGTGATCATCCAGAGCACACCAGGCCAAAGTCGCACCCAGCAAACAGCTGTTTGGAGTACCATGGTTCTGGCCAGTCCACATATCATGATACATTTTGCCTGCAATGAGTGAATCTCAGCATGCCAGACTTTTGTCTCTGCGCATGCTTGTCACAACACATGGACAGGGCCAACGTGCAATGGATACACAGTAGTGCGGCCTGCCATGCACCCAAACGCTCAAGTGTCGCGTGGATGCAAGATTGGCAACGGCCTGCGAATGTGGCCCAAAACCATGCAACTCCAGGCAGTGCAGCCGCTGCCTGACCATGGCCCGGACCATCACGCATTGGGACAATCAGGCTGAGTTTAACCTTCAGAAGGAGCTGTCATCTTGCATGGACATCTTAAACGAGTTCTATGCTGAACACAAGGGCCTCAGCAAGTCCTGCTGCTGCGCTTAAGGCTGCAGCGAGAGCAGCCTGGTTCCAGGCGCAGCATCTTTCCATACTGAAGAGTCAAGATGTGTGCCGCTTGGAACAAGGCCACCAGGAGGTGGTCTGTGGGCACGCCAGTCACTCCCGCAGCAGCCTGGTGTTCCCGGCTTGTGGCACTGTTCTCCCACCAAAGGCGAGCGGGTAACTCTGAAAGACCTTGGATTTCTCTCCACTTGTGCCTCAAGCACACGGCCGGCATTTGGCTCTAGCTTGATGTAGTGATCATAGCCTGCGGCGCGTGAATCGGCTGACACCAAACCGTCTTCTCTGTGCCGTGCAGTGCACCGCGATTTCTGCACCTGCATTGATGACTGACATCATGCCAGACAGCGAAGCGGAGAACTCATGTACATTCACACATGATGCAGAAGATGCCGGCCGCCCAACATTGCCCTAGCAGTTCATAAAGGATGGATAGCCTAGGAAAGACCATATAGTGAACCATGTTGATTTGTGGGTCAACACCCTGTGGAGTGCAGCCCCTAAGCTTTGACATGCTTCAACATTGGCAGTTAGTTTGACAACTGCCCACGTTCGGGAAGAATGAGAGGTGCGCCTCGCTTTCGTGGAGGACAGCCGTTATGTGCCAGGTCCAGGCGGTCATCTGGGCCAGCACCTGATCAGCACCTCTTTTGCACTTCTTTGTCTGAGCATGCCTCTGTTCTTAGCCCCAGGCCTTTGCTTGGCTGATCCGGTAGCAGCGCTCCACTCAAGCGGGCCTGTTATTGAGAATGATTTGGAGCAGGTTGGCTTGCTCAGAGTGCACTGCCCCGCGTCCTGAGCAATTTTCAGCCCATCGGGTGCTGGTGGCAGCATCGACTGAACCAAGGCTTCGCGAGCTGAGGCCTACAACAGATCTCAGCACAGCAATAACGAGGGCCTAGCGGAGAAATCATAAATGCAGATCCTTCATGCACTCCAAACTGGCGACATCTTTTGCTATCAAGTACTATCAAGTGCTCTTTTTAATCGTGTTAGTGTTCCTCGTTCCCTTCCCAAGCCTGCTAGTTGGCATTCTGGCCACGCGGGCGCAATCGTGAATTTGCCCGTGCTTGCTAGCATTGGCATCCTTTCGCTGCTTGCTCATTTTCAGTTCTCTCTGTTCCTGCTGAATGTGATTACCATTGCTTGCATTTGTGTCGTCGACCTCCTCCTCCTCCTGCTTCGTCTTCTTCTGCTTATTGTGTTTGCTGTTCCTCTTCTTGACAGTTGCGTTGGTTGTTCTGCTTTGTTCTTGACATGTACTCAGACCTCGCATGGGTTTGCCCAAAGTCGCACAGGACAGCACAAGCGTCCCAGAGGTAACCCCATCCCGCAAGCCACGCTCTTTTTCATCTGGTACCCTCCTCCTCGCCTCGCCACCCTTATCCCCTCGAGCAGATTGGGGCGACGGCAGAAGGATGCGAAAGGCCCTTGTGCGATGCTTCCTTCCTCCCACTCTCTGCTCTTTCCACGTAGTTCCGGACTGAGAAGCAATATTGAGAAAGCCTAACTCCATCCCTTCAATTCGCGTGTACTCCCTCGCTTCTAGTGTCCCTTCCCCCAAAAAAAAGTGTGCAAGCTGGTGCTGCTTCATGCACGACGGGAGGTTGGATTTCCGAACGGAGGTTGCCCAGTTGGCGCCGTTCAGCTGCAGGCTTGTTCAGCATTCAAGGTTGGGAGTAAAGGGATCTGGTCCGAGCATAGTTCACAGAGTACATGGAGCGGGTTGGAGCGCGGGTTAGACCCTGGTTTCGTTGTTAAAGTTCCGCAGCGGGGAGCTTCGGATCTAGCCAAGTCACAAGGCATTGGACACATGCAACAAGGTAGACATGACCGACCAGATCCAAAAAGCCTCCAGATCACCGTTGCTACACGCTTTTGCCGCGTGGTGCAGGGCTAACCTTGGCGAACTGGCAAATTTGTTCGGTCATCCGCCTAGCAGCCTAGCACCTATAGGTCAAGCTCAGGGCTGGTCAGATCCGCAACTAGTGGCACTATGCATGCTGCATCTGTCCTCAGTCATTTTCCGGACCGGTGGTTCGTAGCATATCGTGGCATCATCTTCCAAAGAGCCAAGCAAAGACTGCAATCAGAAATCATGACGGCTCCGTAGCCGTCTTTCACAACTTCTACGGGAGTCTGCCCAAGCCAGCGGCACCGCATGGTTGACCGCCTCAGAAGAACGACAAGTATGTTACAACTGAGTCAGAGGCCGAGAAATCTACGGCAGGATCCGCTGGCGTTTTCAGCACGATAGATGAACCATGTAGACCGCGACTGCAACTGATTATTCCCGAGCTCACCTGCTATCAGCTTCTGGGCCGAAAAAACAATCCGGATTACGTCACAACTGACATCTTCAAATGTCAGAGAACCGTAATGAACCGTAAGTGCTGCACCACATGCAAGTATGCCTGGTCCTCATCACCAAGTACTACAGATGCTGGCAAGCCTTTCTTCGGCATACTGCAGTAGGTGTATGCATTCAGATTCTGCAATGTCAGAAGCAGGAGGCGTACGAGTGTCCTTTCCAATGCTTGAGGCATCGCTTAGCAGGAGGACCTGGGCGTGAATCTTGAGTGCAGGCAAATGCATCATTAGAAAAGTTTTGAGGAGGACGTTCGAAGATTTGAGATCCGAGTCCCGGGCTGAAATTGCTGCTGGTGGCTTGAATCCTCTGGACCGCGCCTGCGAGAGCATCAGCTTGCTTGAGCATGTATACCACATCGGCAGGTGAAAATGTTCGCGTATAACAAGTACGAATGTGGCAACATGCAATGTGCAATCTAGAATCTTTTGAACAAAGCAACATAGGGTGTCTCGTGTCACTCGAGATGCACCTGGCCTTCAGCCACGCCGCATGGCGCCTGAAAGAACTTGCAAATAGCTTCCCATCAACATGCGAGGCGGTGGTACTGTCACGTCTGAGGTCGTTGCAAGTCTGCTTCAGTCTCGAAGCGCAGCCACTCAAAGTGCGCGGTCTGCACTTCAGGGCTTCCAGAGTCTACACCCACACGCACTTTGCCGGCCGTTTTCTCCCAGCAAGAACAGGGTTGTCCAATGCCCGGCGAAAGATTGTTAGTTGCTTTAATGGGTCACGATGATCCTACAGGATCGGTAATCCGCACACCCCTTCCACTCACTGTAAGGTCTAGCTCGGAATGCTTGCTGCCCCCTCTCCTGCCCTTGATGCCGCGCTCTACAGTAAGAGTTGCTTCTTTTCGCTTCCCCTCCTTAACTGTCCGGATCTTCACTGAAAAACGCTCGCTTTCTGTTGCTCCCTTCCCGCTGCTTGGCTTTCATGAAGATATGCTCGACTTGTTCAGGAGTGGGGTGTCCATACACGTAAGCCGCCCCTCCCGCTTCCCTCCACTCTCTCCACTGGTCCAGGGCGGAGCACGTGTCTAGAGCTTTACCTTTACCCGAGTGGCACCAGAAGTTCCGACCCCCTATAGGCCATCATCGGACCTCCGTTTCTCCAAAGGACCCTGCCGGACCCTACCCCGAATTTGGTGCCTGTCAGGAACCCCGAGCATCGGACTTTTGTAAAACTATGTAAAAGCTGGCCAAGGGGGCCAGCATCATCAGCATCATTGGGGATCCGTACGATCCGGTTCCCTTTCTCTAGACTGACTTCTAGGCTGTCCGCACGCTCTTGGCCGGGCATTATGGTGGGTTGATGAGGGCTGGATGCGGGCTTCATGGAGGCTATATCATGCTTCTTCGCGAGCTTTTATGTCGGGCTTACCTGGTTTTCCATGGTAGCTTCAAAACTTGTCGATTGGTGCGTTGATGGGCTCCTGGCTCCACGCGGGTCTTATGCAGGTTTTATAGGGGTTGGATGATGCTTTTCACGTCTAGCGCATGTGCTTGTTTCATGATAATCTCGAAGTCCTTCGCGGGCTTCCTCATAACTGCACGCGGGCTGTTTGATTGCGGAGTACCGATTAACTTGTGAGGTTTCAGCCACTTGCAAGGCGGCCTGCTCTTTAACAAGCTTGAAGAGCTCTTGGGAATCCACTTGACCACCCTGAAAAGTGATTCAAACTTGTTTGCACTTGTTGATGCTTCCCCTCAGCCTACGGAGGATCTTTGAATTGTTGTTGGATCCTCAGGGGCCTTCGCAAGAGCATCATGAGCAAGGACTTTTAAGCCACCCTCAAGGCCCACCTTCGGCTTCAAACGGCCCCAATTGATCTGATGATGCTGGCCAAGGCGGCTAGCATCATCAGCATCTTCGGGAAACCGTTTGTTCCCACTACTTCCTGCCCCTGTTACTCTCTCGGTGTCGCCGCTGTTCGTGAGGCAACAGAGCCGGCCCACGCCGGCAGAAACATGCATGTCTTAAACTATAACTGCTGCAGACAAACACCCCGAGCGCAATGCAACCATCCGCACACACCACAGAAAATGAGTTGCTGGAGCCTCCTCAGACCTCAGCGGCCGGGACAAGACAAGGAAGCGTCTGGCTTCGCAGAGCACATGGAAGGCTCGGACCCGCCAGACTCACAAAGCGGTAGACCACCACTAGCTGGCGAAGCAACCACTTTGGGCCTCCGTATCTCTGCACGGGTCTCTGCAGTCTGTTTAATGCCTTTGGGCTCCGGCCATGCTGCCCAGAGGCCTTCACCCGCCCTGGTGCTGAGAGTATGCCCGCGACCGGTCTGGCAGGCGCGGGGCAAACAGCACAAATACAAGTAGACAGGCTTGTTTAATCATGTTCAATGTAGCATCCTACTGTAAACACGCTTTATTGCTGACTCACGCTGACTCCAACACAACTATTTAATGCAAGCCTCGTACAACCTTATGCCCTCCCAATTGCCTCGGGCACACCAAGCAAGGCGCGGAGCACAACCAATACCGAGGCGGCGCCAAGGCCTTACATGCCCACGTAGAGCTACTGTTACTATGAGCTACTTGTGTAGAAGCGTGCACTACATGCATCACAGAAGGTCATGATTTTTCAGATTCAGCTGACCTGTTGCGCTCACAAAGGGAGAGTGCAACACGCAACCGTTGCCAACGCGATTTAATGCACACAAGCAATATCATCTGAGTCTTGCAAGGATGGGGTCGGGGTATGCGCTGGGGAAGTGAGTGAAGAAAAAAGGTGTTGGGGCTACTGCTCAGATGGATTTGGCCTGGCATTGAAAAGCCATTCCATCCCTGCGTCTAATCAACGTTCAGGTCGGACATTACTTGGCCTCTCTGTCTTCAGTGCCTTGGCATATTGCGAGTCGATGGGTCAGCGGGCTCCATGTCGTCTTCAACAAACGTTCTTCTCCAGCTTTTGTTCGGAATTCAGTCAATCCTTTGGCGGTGGTCATGGCGGCGTCGGCGGCGGCGGGGGTGGTGGTGGCAGCGGTGGTCGTGCATGAAACACTTAGAACAATTAGCAACAAAATGAACAAAATACGTGAAAAAAAAAACAATGATTTTCCGCACCGCCCCATGTTTGCTCGTTCTCCTTTGTTGTAGGTTTTGCTCTTCGAGCTTTTTCCAATTTGCTTGCTTTGCAGCTGCAAATTAGGGTAGGCAAATTCGGAGCAGGAGGACATGGCAGAGATGTCCTCGATGTTCCCGTGTGCTGTTTTCCCCCTGTTGTTTGTCCTACCTTTTCCTCCCTTCTCTTGGGAAAATAGGAGACACGTAGGACACAAGGTGCTACTTTCTGGATTTTAGGCGGCAAAACATGAAATTTTGAACGCTAGGCTAGACGAGCGCAACTAGGAGACAAGCAAGCAGCAGTCATAAACACAGGACCAACTAGGCAAACATGGAAACTCAAGGAAGTTCTCGATGGTCCACACTCTCCTAATTCGCTCCTTCTG